ACCAATATGAATTTCTAAATTTCAACTGTCCCAGATAAGGGTATGAGTACTTATGCAATGGAATCATTTAAAGTTTTTTATTTTTAATAAATTTGCAAAAAAGGTTTTTGCTTTACCATTATGGTGTATGGAGTGTAGATCGATGTGGAAAAAAATTAATTTAAAGCAGTTTAACATAAGGCAGCAACATAACAAAATGTGAAAAAAAAATGAATGAAAAAATGAATACTTTTGCAAGGCACTGTAAATGCAAATGAGCTGCTGCTCCCCGCCCCCCAGAACAGTTAGGAAGTTTTGCTCAAACTTTCGCCATGGCATTAGAACTGGTACACCGTTGTCGCCTGCGAAAACACAATAACGGCGCCGTGGGTGGAAACTTACAGATTAAGGGGCGGTAATATTATAATGAGATCCCTTTGCCACGTCACCAAGGGAGCGAAATCAGACGCGCTCGTTTTCTCAGACGCTTGCAGAAAAAGGCTTCCCAAAACAAAGTTACTGGGTTAATCTTTTTTACGGTTCCTTGGTTGGTAGATGCACTTGGGACCTGATTATAGCACTTAAAACCTGGAAAAGTCAGATTTTCATGATATGTCACCTTTAATGAAAATAAGAATAACTATGATAAAGGGATTCTTTCAGCTGGAGGATCTAGACTCATTTATAGTCAAATTCATGTTATTGACAGATGGCGGGTTTTTTTTTTTTTATAGTGTGCGTAAAAAAGATAATGAATGTATTGTATTAAAGCTCGAATTTGGAATAGGTTGAAATGAAAATTACTAAAAGTTAGAAACTGCTTGAGGGTCATGAAGATAATGGTGGTAGACCAATAAGGATAGAACTTCTAGTGTTCTTGCTGTAGGAGACTAGAACCTGTTTTTGTCACTATACAAACCTGTTTGTCATGTGCCATTATGACACACTCATGTAAAAATTGATACTGAATTTGTTTTTTAAATACAAATACTAGATATGCAGTACCAAGAATTATTTTATATGTATATGTTCTCATATGATTTACAATGTCTGTATGACCTTATTTAGTAGAGTTAATGCTTTGTCCATGTAGTGCTTCCAAAGCATTATTTATGGCACAACAAGGTACGGTCTCACTGAGAGCAATGACTTACCCGAGCACATGTGGAGCTGCTGCACAACTGCTCTTTTCAATCCCAGCATCTTGCTTGCTTGTCTTTGGGGACAAAAATGGTTCAGCCCTAATGGAGTGTTAAAGCTTTCTCCAGCTCTGTCTTTAGCCCTAGTCATGTTCCTGTGACAACGGCTTAATGAAATGAATGGGCTCTCCAAAGGACCTGCCCCGCTCTGCCATTGTTGCATTATTCATCTGGTGAGTCAGGGTGACTTACAAATTCGTACATTTAGAGCATTAATCCATTTATTTTTGCTGGGTATTTATCCAAGTAGTTATTTTCCTTGCCTTACGGGATGCTGGGGAACACACTTTCTTGACACTGTGAACACTTGAACAACTTTTCAAAAGTGTGTTGATGCTTAGTTAATGGCCCTCTGCAGTATTCACTGCCAAACCCATGATGTCTCATTCAAACAAAGTGTCTTCTGAAACTTGGCCAAAAATGTAGCTTGTCGTCTGAGTCATAGAGCATATCGATATGAAATCTCTGAATAAAACATCATTGACTGAACCAATTTGAGTGGCCAGAATAATATCTCAGGAGAGGCGTAAGCAGCACAAAACATATTCTGGTCCCACTTTATATTAGTTGTCTTTAACTATGTATGTACATCCAAAAAATAATTGTTAGGTACAGTTTACTCTTTATGTTCATATTGTATTACAAAACATGTTTGCTGCTATTGAGGTAGATTATGATTAAGGTTAGGGACAGGTTTTGTGATATGGTTAGGTTTAAGGGTGGGATTAGGGTTAGGGTCAACAGTGTAATTATAGATGTAACTAAAGACATTAATTTACATGCAGATATCTTTTTAAATGTAAGTACAAAAACATGTATTTCAGTGTAAGTGCACTGTATCAAATTATTAATTTAAATGTTAGTATATAGTAGTTGAAGACACTTAATATAAAGTGGATCACATGTTCTCAAGGCCCCGATATATAGTACTCAAAATTATTCATACCCTTGGTAAATATGATCAAAGAAGGCTGTGAAAATTAATCCGTATCATCAGTCCTTAAGATATTTTATTTTAAAAATTTACTAAAATCTAACCTTTCATTGGAGAATAAGAATTTAAAATGGGAGATAAATCTCATTATGAAATAAATGTTTTTCTCTAATACACATTGGTCACAATTAATCATACCCTTTTATCCAATACTTTTCGCAACCACCTTTTGCAAAGAGAACAGCTCAGAGTCTTCACCTATAATGCCTGAAGAGTTTAGAGAACATCTGACAGGAGATCAGAGACCATTCTTTCATACAGAATCTAAATATGATCAAAAAAGGCTGTGAAAATAAATCTGCATTGTTAATCCTATTGATCTTTTATTTAAAAAATGTACAAAAATCTAACCTTTCATTCAAAAATAAGAATTTAAAATGGGGGGAATCTCATTATGAAATAAATGTTTTTCTCTAATACACATTGGTCACAATTAATCATACCCTTTTATCCAATACTTTTCGCAACCACCTTTTGCAAAGAGAACAGCTCAGAGTCTTCACCTATAATGCCTGAAGAGTTTAGAGAACATCTGACAGGAGATCAGAGACCATTCTTTCATACAGAATCTCTCCAGACCCTTCAGATTTCCAGCTGCATGTTGATGCTTCTACTCTTCAGTTCACCACACTCATTTTTTATAGGGTTCAGCTCAGGGAACTGGGTTGGCCAGGGCAGAAGCTTGGTTTTGTTCTTAGTGACCCATTTTTGTTTTGATTTTGATGTTTGTTTGTGGATCATTGTCCTGTTGGAAGATCCAACCATGGCCCATTATAAGATTTCTAGCATGGACAGTCAGTTTTAAATTTTTTATCAACTGGTATTTTATAGAATCCATTATGCCATCTATCTGAACAAGATATCCAGGATCTCTGGCAGAAAAATAGGCCCACAACATTAAAGATCCAGCAGTATATTTCATTGTACACATGGGGTACTTTTTTATCTCTGTGTGCACCAAACCCATCTTGAGTTTTGTTGAGTATTGATTGTTTGCTGCTAAAAAGCTAATTTTTTTTTTAGTTTCATCTGACCATTGAACCCAGTCCCGTTTAAAGTTCCAGTCGTGTCTTTTTCTTGAAACCCTTCCAAACAACATTGCTTTTTTTTTTTTTTTTTGAGGCTTTTTGACCCCAAGACTCAACTATTTTCTGCAGTTCTCCAGCTGTGATCCTTGGAGTCTTTGGCCACTCAAACTGTCCTCCTCACCGTGCATTAGGACGATATAGAGACACGTCCTCTTACTGTATTAGAGAAAAATATTTATTTCATAATGTGATTTTCCCCCACTTTCACTTTTATAAAAGGTTATTAAAGGTTAGAATTTTTTTTTATTTTTGAATGAAAGATCAAGTGGATAAACAATGCGGGTTTATTTTCACAGCCTTCTTTGGTCATATTTACCAAGGGTGTGAATAATTTTGAGCACAACTGTACTTCAAGTGACATCATCTTAAAGCTGTCCTGAAAGGGACGGTAGTTTACTCCAAAAATGAAACTTCTGTCATCATTTACTCACCTCATGTTGTTCCAAACTTGTATGAATAAATATGTGAATAAATGATGACAATTTTTGGGTGAAATAACCTTTTAATCCCCGTGTGCAAAAATGGAGCCAATTTGAACGTGCAATTACAAACTTTTATCCAACAGTGTCATTATGTCCATTCCTAGCCAAGTTGAGCTACACCTGTGCATTTAAGTCTAATGTAAACCACAATCCCAGAAGGCAGACGTTTGGCATGTGGGTAATGCCTGAGGATGTCAGCTCAGGTAGCCATGAACAGCCATTATTGCCTCCATTTAGCAATTAGAGGGGACGAGGAAGAAGAAAAAATTATGTACATGATGGCCCCTCAAGCAAAAAAATCTGTTATGACATTATCTCTTGTGAAGGACCCTAGCCGCAAGCAAATGTCTTCATCATCTTTTCATGTAAAGAGCTGTTCTTTGGTAACCTGTCACCCCATCATTTATCTCACTTTTGCTTTTGTCCCCTCACAGATCGCCTTCTCTCAGCACAACAGCATTATGGACCTGGTGCAGTTCTTTGTGACATTTTTCAGGTGAGTGCTTGCCGTTTCAAAGGTGTGTGATGTAACATAAGTTGATCGTGACAGCATCTTTCAGCTGTTAAGCTGATGTAGAATCATTTAGTGACAGCCTGCCTGTGTTGGATTCCTCAACACATGATGTGTCTCATGCCTTTTCTCTTTTGGAGTAATGAGTCAGTGCTGAGAGAGCTCTTTAGGCCAAGAGGAAATGAGGCCCAATTACATTCAATGCCCTTCAGCTCAGTGTTAATTTCGTCAACGAAGACGAGGACAAAAAATATTCGTTAACGAAAAATTTTCTGTAACTTAAGACGAGACGTTGACGAGCTAAAACTAATATATGATGATAAAAACTATGACGAAATTTATGCCGCGTCTTCGTTAACCAGACGAGACGGGACTATAATGTTATTTGAGGACTACCGGACATTCAAAATACATCCTATAGGCTACTGTCTTGTCCTTCAAAATGTGCGTCCCTGTCATTGGATTACTATCGCATAAGGGGCGTTCGCATATGTAGTCTCAGTATGCTAGCCGCAGTGGATGGATAGACTACCAAAACGCGAACTAGCGATCTGAAACAATGGCCTCAGCACCCGAAGGGTTAGGGATAAGGTGACCAGACGTCCTGTTTTCCCAGGGAGTCACAATTTGTTGTCAATTAACTTAAAGGATAGGCGGAATCGTGCTGATAGAAGTGCTCTCTCTCGCGCACATAATATTCGCGTTCTGATTGGTCAGATCGCCTGTCAATCAAGCTCCCTGTGAATGGTCAATTGTCAAATACACACACAGCTGTCAAAATGTCCATCATGTGGAGTATCTCACGTAAATACAGTCGGTTATGGCTTAAGTGAACGTAAACAGGTGGGTGAAAACTGAACGTGTGTCAGTATTACATGCATGCCTTCCGTCTTAAAGGGACAGCATTAATTAAGTACCTATTTGTGTCATTAATGTTAACCAACAAAAGATGTTAAATAAATGTACACATGTTAAGTAAACCTACTGTATCTGAAAAATGAGTTTAATTTGTATCTCTTTCATATTTGTCTTATTGTGCTTTTTCAAAAATTATAAATTATATATAGTATCTATATTATACATGAACAACTATTATTTTTATAGTTGCACCCTTTTCACTCCTGTTAAAGGGATAGTTCACCCAAAAATTAAAATTGTCATCATTTA